GGCGTGTTCTGGAAACCCTAAAACCAAACATCTAAATCCTTCCGCTGGCCCTCCGCCGGCTTCCGCCAAGCTGTTTTCGCTGCTCTTTTGAAAAAATTAGTTCTACCGCCCTCCCCCCCGGGGTTAAATATTTCCTCTTCGCGTTGCAATGTGCAAATGATTCTGCCCATCGTCCATCCTAACTGTGAATTCATACTATGCCAGCCAGGCTGGTATCGCCCCCCGCCATCCTCTGCAAAATTTACGATGCGCGCGCACTAGTTTATCAACAATCATAAATGTTCAAGAATACCTTGCGACAAATGGGACGAAGTGCGCGCGCGCGTCGTCGCGCGCGCATGCCGGAATCCTTTTAAAACCTTTCTTGTCGGGACGGTTTCAAAACCTAGTTTCCCACGCACAAAAAAAACAAACAACTGGTTTTGAAACGCGGATTCCCTAAGAAAGTTTACGCGCGCGCTCTTGCGAAATCTTAAGACAACCATAGGTTCTTCAAGATTTTCCGAAATTGCTATCAAACGGGCTTCGCGCGCGCATGTCGAAATCGTTCGAACGCCCTTGCGCGCGTGCCGTCGCGAGAAGCCTCAGCAAAAAATGGGACGAAGTGCGCGCGCGCATCGTCGCGCGCGCATGCCGGAATTTTTCAAAAACTATCGGTTTCGGAAGAATCTCAAAATCGAGCGTTCAAAAAAACATACCAAAACTCATGGTTTCGCAACACGGATGTTGAACAAAAGCGTGCGCGCGAGCTCTTGCGTCGTCGTCATCGTCGTCCCCGTCCTCCCTCCAGACTCGACGTGGTCGTGGTCGCCGTCGTCGTCCTCTGTCTTTCCTCGTCGTCGCCGTCGTCCTCTTTGGCGTCGTCGTCGTTTCTGTCGTCGTTGTCGCCGTCGTCGTCTTTCCTCCTCCCTCGTCGTCGTCGTCGTCGTCCGTCGTCGGCGTCTCGTCGTCGTCCTTCCTCTTTCGTCGCCGCCGTCGACGTAGTCGTCGTGTTCCCTCTTCCCTCGTCGTTGTCGTCGTCGGCGTCGCCGTCCTCCCTCCTTCCTCGTCGTTCGCGTCGTCGCCGTCCTCCCTCCTCCCTCGTCGTTGTCGTCGTTGTCGCCGTCGTCGTCGTCCCTCCTCCCTCGTCGTCGTCGTCCTTGGCGGCGTCGTTGTCGTCGTCGTCGGTGCCGTCGTCGTCGTCGACGGCGTCGTCGTCGTCGTGGTCGTCGGCGTTGTCGTCGTCGTCGTCGTCGGCGTCGTCGTCGTCGTCGTCGTCGGCGTCGACATCGTCGTCGTCGTCGTCGGCGTCGGCGTCGTCGTCGTCGTCGTCGGTGTCATCGTCGTCGTCGTCGTCGGTGTCGTCGTCGTCGTCGTCGTCGAAACCGTCGGTGTCGTCGTCGTCGTAGTCGTCGTCGGCGTCGTCGTCGTCGCTGGCGCTGTCGTTGTCGGCATCGTTGCCAAGTGCCATTCGGTACCTACCGTCACGGTCTTAAGAGGTCTTGCGACCAAGTTGCGGGTGGGAGGGTGGGATGTTTGCACGAGCAGTGGAGGGGACAGCTTCAAGACAGTCAAAGTGAACTGCGAAATATATATTGCACCAAGTCGAACGCTCAATGTCGTTTGAACCATGTTAACTGCACCAAACAGATTGCCCCACATAAATTGCACAACCTGTGCTGCACCACGCTGCTTGCACCGCGTATTTTGCACCATCCAACTCTCCTTTCTTAAAAAAATAGGCTCTACCCCCCCCAGGACTTATCAACTCCCATTGGGATAATATAGTTTCATATATATATATATATATATATATATATATATATATATATATTCTGCACACGCGTCCATCCTAAATATGAAATCGTATCATCCCAGCCAAACCGGGTTTCCCCCCTTTGAGGTTCCCTTGTGAAAAACACTATGCGGTGATATTTTTGCTCTAACATAGCCCTTTTTTTTCGAATCCCTTGCAACACATGGGACGAAGTGCGCACGCGCGCGTCGTCGCGCGCGCATGCCGAAATCCTTCAAAAACCTTCGGTGCAGGAGCGATTTCGCAATCGAGTTTTCAAAACACATACAAAAACACAAGGTTTCGCAACACAGAGTTGCTAACAAAGCTTCCGCAAGAGCTCTTGCGAAACCTTAAGACAACCGTAAATTTTTCAAGATTTTCAAAACATGCTACCAAACGGGCTTCGCGCGCGCATGTCGAAATCAGTCGAACGCCATTGCGCGTGTGCCGTCGCGAGAACCCTCTGCAAAAGCTGGGACGAAGTGCAGACGCGCGCGTCGTCGCGGGCGTATGCCGAAAACCTTCAACACCCATCGGTTTCGGAAGGATTTCAAAATCCGGCGTCCAAAAAACCTACAACAACCCAAGGTTTCGCAACAGTGATTTCCAACAAAAGCGTGCGCGCGCGCTCTTGCGTCGTCGTCGTCGTCGATGTCCTCCCTCCTCCCGCGTCGTCGTCGTCGTCGCCTACGTCGTCCTCTGCCTTTTCTCGTGTTCGTCGTCGTCGTCTTCTTTGGCGTCGTGGTCGTTTCCGTCGTCGTTGTCGCCGTGGTCGTCCTTCCTCCTCCTCCCACGTCGTCGTCGTCGTCCGTCGTCGGCGTCTCGTCGTCGTCCCTCCTATTTCGTCGCCGTCGTCGTCGTCGTCGTCGTCGTCGTCGTGTCGTCGTCGTCGTCGTCTTCCCTCCTCCCTCGTCGTTGCCGTCGTCGGCGTCGCCGTCCTTCCTCCTTCTTCGTCGTTCGCGTCGTCGCCGTCCTCCCTCCTCCCTCGTCGTTGTCGTCGTTGTCGCCGTCGTCGTCCTCCCTCCTTCCTCGTTGTCTTCGTTGGCGACGTCGTCGTCGTCTTCGTCGTCGTCGTCGTCGTCGGCGTCGTTGTCGTCTTCGTCGTCGTCGACGTCGGCGTCGTCGTCGTCGCCGCCGTCGTCGTCCTCGTCGTCGCGTCGGCGTCGTTGACGTCGTCGTCGTCGTCGGTGTCGTCGTTATCGTCGTCGTCGGCGTCGTCATCGTCGTCGTCGTTGTCATCGTCGTCGTCGTCGTCGTGTCGTCGTCGTCGTCGTCGTCGTCGTCGTCGTCGTTGTCGGCGTCGTCGAAGTCGTTGGAGACGTCGTCGGTGTCGTCGTAGTCGTTGTCGGCGGCGTCGTCATCGTCGTTGTCGCTGTCGTCGTCGGCGTCGCTGTTGTTGCCAAGTGCCATGTGGTACCCACCGTCACGGTCTTAAGAGATTTTGCAAACCAAGTTGCGGGTGGGTGGGTGGGTGGGATGTTTGCGCGAGCAATGGAATGGAAAACTCACTGCGAACAGAAATTAATTCTCCTGTCTAAAAAGAAAATAGACTCTACCCCCCCCTGGACTTATCGCTTCCCCCAGGGATAATATATATATATGTGTGTGTGTGTGTGTAAATTCTGCACAGTCGTCCATCCTAAATATGAAATCGTACCATCCCAGCCAGGCCGGGTTCCCCCCCTGAGGTTCCCTGGTAAAAACACTATGCGGTGACATCGTTGGTTCTAACATGACAACTTTCACGAATCCCTTGCAGCAGATGGGACGAAGTGCGCACGCGCGCGTCGTCGCGCGCGCACGCCGAAATCCTTCAAAAACCTTCGGTGCCTGAAGGATTTCGCAATCGAGTTTCCAAAACACATACAAAAACACATGATTTCGCAACACTGATTTGCTAAGAAAGCTTCCGCGCGAGCTCTTGCGAAATCTTCACAAAATGCTACCAAACGGGCTTCGCGCGCGCACATGTCGAAATCTGTCGAACGCCCTTGCGCGTGTGCCGTCGCGAGAACCCTCTGCAAAAGCTGGGACGAAGTGCAGACGCGCGCGTCGTCGCGGGCGTATGCCGAAAACCTTCAAAACCCATCGGTTTCGGAAGGATTTCAAAATCCGGCGTCCAAAAAACCTACAAAATCCCAAGGTTTCGCAACACTGATTTCCAACAAAAGCGTGCGCGCGCGCTCTTGCGTCGTCGTCGTCGTCGTCGTCGTCGTCGATGTCCTCCCTCCTCCCGCGTCGTCGTCGTCGTCGTCGCCTACGTCGTCCTCTGTCGTTTCACGTGTTCGTCGTCGTCGTCGTCGTCGTCCTCTTTGGCGTCGTGGTCGTTTCCGTCGTCGTTGTCGCCGTGGTCGTCCTTCCTCCTCCTCCCACGTCGTCGTCGTCGTCGTTGTCGTTGTCGTCTTCCCTCCTCCCTCGTTGTTGTCGTCGTCGGCGTCGCCGTCCTTCCTCCTTCGTCGTCGTTCGCGTCGTCGCCGTCCTCCCTCCTCCCTCGTCGTTGTCGTCGTTGTCGTCGTTGTCGCCGTCGTCGTCCTTCCTCCTCCCTCGTCGTCGCCTTCGTTGGTGTCGTCGTCGTCTTCGTCGTCGGCGTCGGCGTCGTTGTCGTCGTCGAAGTCGTCGGAGACGTCGTCGGTGTCGTCCTAGTCGTTGTCGTCGGTGTCGTCGTAGTCGGTCTTAACAGGTTTTGCAAACCAAGTTGCGGGTGGGTGGGTGGGATGTTTGCGCGAGCAGTGGATATGGCAACTTCAAGTTCAGCAGAGTGGATTGCACCACATAGATTGCACCACGCAGATTTCCAGAATCACTGTTCGGGGTCCACCCTTGCTCTTTTTTGGGCGTTCTCACTTTTTGAACTTCCGACGCTCCGAGACGGCCCCACAGGCCTCCAAAATCGCCCCAAGACGGCCCAAGAGGCCCGCACGACGGCCCAAGATGACCCCAAGACGGCCCAAGAGGGCCCCACGGCGGCTCTATAGACCTCCAAGACGGCCCTCGAGTGCCCACGGAGGGACCCACGACTGCCCACAGAAGGCCCCAAGACGCCCCCGAGGGCCAAGAGGTCCCTCAGAGGCACCCAATCGGCCCCTCAAGAGGCACCCCAGGAGGCTTCCCAGGAGGCCCCCCTGAGGCATCCAAACTGCCCTTCAGATGCCCCCGACAGGCTCCCCTCCCCTTTCGTTGCCCCCCCCCACACCGACCCCGCGCGCCCTGCGCGCGCGACCGCCTGGAAACGCGGGGCTGGCATGGTCACGACGGCCAGCGGCGTCTCGTACCTGAGGGTGAGGGGGTGGAGGGAGGTGCTTTCGAGGCCTCTCGGCGGTTGCTCGGGAGGAGGAGGACGAGGGGGAGGAGGAGAGAAGAGGATACAGTGTGAGGGCGAGAAAACTGCATAAACATAAACTTTCGACGGTCCGCGCGGATGTCTTGGATCGGCGCTGGTCCCCCTCCCTGGCGGGCGGAGCGCGCCAGGGGCGGCGCCAGGGGCGCCGAGAGGGTCCCGGCACAGGCCCACGACTTGCTATCGCCCAGGCGTCCATTCCCCGTGCAGTTTCCGGTTTCGTGCGTTGCTTTTTGGCCAGATGACCCAGGATGCTCCTCGATGGTCCTCGCCGGGAACAAAATGCACACGTCCGAGCGATGCCAGGAAAAGGTCCGCGCGGAGCTCCGAAAGTTTACCAGGGCGCTCCCAGGAATAGCGCTGTGGCCCGAGCAGCGCGAAAAGGCTCCCCGATAAGAGATTCGATTTGGAAAATTACGATTTGGAGGGCTCGGGTACCACTCCCCCCCGCTTATCCCCGAGAGCCTTTGCCACTGTTTTAATCCCCCAAACATTGACACCCCCATCGAGTGAAACACAATGATCAGAGAACTTAACAGGTCGACAAGCATAACAAACCTTCGAGGGTAGAAGGACGAGCTCTAAGCACATGCGCATGCACCGGTCGTCGCCTGGCGCACCCTGGGCCCAGGGCCGTTTTGCATGCGCCCCAGGATCTCGGACCCAGGGCGTGTGCACCGATGCCTGGTCCAGGATTGGCGCGGCCAAGATCGGTACGTGTGCACAGCCTGTGTCGCCCAGTGAGGAGGAGCAGAGCTGAGGAGAAGCAGCGAGGAGGATTCGGGGAGCAAAACATCTACCCTCAAAATAAGCACCCTCACAAGCAAAGTCATTTAGGAGACGCGCTAAGGAAGGAATCGAACAGGGCAAGGTGGTACAAAAAATGCCCAGGACCGCTTGGCAAACGCACATTATCGGGGTCGTGGTGGCTTTTCCTCCCCTGAGGGTTAGCACGGACTCTCAGTTGGGTTTAGGAAAGGGCCCCCATGAGCAACACTCCCAGGGCATGGCTGAGCAAACTAGGGAGGGGGGGGGGGGGCAAAAATCATGAACCCCATCTGAGGAGGGTACAGACCCACAGAAGACGACGACCATAATGAACCTAGGATGCATCAGCGATGCTGCAATACCGGCCCAAGTCCCCAGTCCTCTCCTCACAAGTCCATCTGCATGCATTCTTCTCTTTCTTGCCATCGCTCGGACGTCCATTCCTCGTTCATAGTTCGGGAGCGCACGTTGATTTTTGTCTTGAGGAAAACGCACGCAACCACTGTTTTCGCGAGATGATCCTAGAGGCCCCTCGATGGTTCAGGTCTTCTGGAGATGGCCTCGCCGAGAGCACATGCACACGTTCGAGCGAGGACATGCTTTTCGCTGGGGGAACTCGCTGAAATCCGCTGATCTCCACGCTGCTGTCGCGAATCCGCTCCAGGAGCGAGCCAGGCGGGCCGCAACGGAAGCCGGCCTCCCGCCCGATCCTGCCTCCCTCGTGGCCAGTCGCGGCCCTCGAAGGGCGCCTCTTGTAGGGAGCCCACAGAAGGACGTACGCGCCCAGCTATGTACATGAACACGGCCTCGATTCGCGAGACTGGCCGCGTTATACGAACATTTGTGCAATGCGTGCTCTCGAAACCAGCGTGGATTCATGTACATGTACGTCCTTCTTTCGCTCCTGATCTTGAGGCCGGGGGAGAGGCCCTTCCGTGTGCGCACAAGGCTCCCGTGACTTTTCCTGTTGGAAGGGGAGAGGGAGAGGGAGCAGAAAGACTGAAGAGGCGTGTGGGTCCTCCGTGGCAGGCGCGGAGCAGACATACGACCCGGACCTGGGCCAGAAGTGCAGGGCACGAGGCGGGTGGCACTCCTCCCCCCCCCTTTCCCCCAGCCGTCGCACCGCCCGCCGCCCGAGCAGCTCCTTCGCCTCGGCGAGACTCGACAGGCCCCTGGGCGTCTCGCCGCCCTGCGCCTCGCTGAAGCCCCACGGCCCCCGCAGGACGGCACGAGGCCGTGGGACGTGACGCCGCCGAGCCGCCTGCCCCCGGGCCCGACCCGCAAGTGCCGGCCGCGAGGCGAGGCCTCGCGGGGCCCCGGCGTCCCGAGGCGGGCCTCCCGGTGCCGCTCCGCGGCCCGCGCGGCAGCACCGAGGGAACCCACCGTCGCACGGGCGGCTCGCCGCCTGACGAGCGCCGCCGTGCACTGCCAGACGCCTGCACGGCGGAGGCCAGTCCACAGGAAACCCTCCACAAGAAGCCCAGCCCTGGGACCCCAGGACGTTCACTGATTTCTGGTGTGGGAACGTCAAGCTGTCTCTCGCAGAACCATCGGACCCCAAGAAACCCGGGGCACCCTGGAGGCAAGCAGAGTTTTTCCTGGCATGGGTCCCCACTGTATCTGGGGGTCTGGCACTGTTGAGAGCCGAAGTCCACGAAAACTGAGCAGCCCCCCGCCAGCGCATCCGCGGCACCGCTGCCGCACTCGAGATGGCGTTCCTGATGTGTGAGGCTGGGCCGCGGAACTCTTCCATGCCTTAGCGGTTTCTCCTCCTCCTCCTCCTCCTCCTCCTCCTCCTCCTCCTCCTCCTCCTCCTCCTCCTCCTCCTCCTCCTCCTCCTCCTCCTCCTCCTCCCGCGCGGCCGCCCTCGTGGTGTTTCTCCCCTCTTGCACGCCAGACAATTCGCCTTTCGGTAGCCACGAATAGCCACACGCTGGAGCGGACTGCCTCTCTTTTTTTTGGGGGGTCACCGTTGGCCGACCAGTAACGACAGTGTGACAGTTCACAGTGCATAGCTTGCAGCCTCCCGTGCCGCAGTGCGGGCTCGGATGGCTTCCAAGCGTGGTAGCGGGGCTGCAGTGGCCGCCACATCACCGCGGCGCGCCAGCTGCAAGACAACATCAGCCTCCTGCCGCGCCACCTGTTCTTCAGGCTCAGCGCGGGATACTGCAGCGCAGCGCGAAAGGGTGAAGCCCTCTGCGCAGTCGAGACAAGACTTGGCCACCGCTGCGAATGCTGCCTGGCTGGCAGCAGGTGGCTAAGCTGCGAATCTTGTGCTGCGAATACGCTCCGCAGGCCAGACACAAGAACAGCGGGTTGGCCTCGTCTCCAACCTGGGTGCTCGCGAGCTTGTGTCCGTGATCGGGGGCTGAGACCAGAAACTCAGCCACCCTCTCAGGGAAACCTTCACATCCTAGTTCAGGGCGCTCGTGTTGCCGCCCTCCAAAGAAGACCAAACACTTAGTGCACCGAAAGCCCCAGAGACTCCGCTGCCATGAGTGCCAAGGCGTGGCCTTGTCAAAAACCTTTGTGGGTCTCACGCGCCTGGGCGGCCTCTGGTGAGTTGCGCGAGGAAACAGCGGCAGCACACTCGCCATCAACCGTGCGCACTTGCGCAACTGGTCGATGGTCCAATCTAACTGTTTGGCTTCGGCATCCGACAGGCGCGCATGCAGCTCGATGGCCTTCTTGGCCTCGAGATCTGCTCGCCAGTTGGCCTGGCCAATCCTACGCTCTGGTTGAGCCAACGCATCTATCACTTCGAGCTTGCGATGCGCAGGCGTGTGAACAGCTGGGGCAAACTTATTTTCACACATATGGATCAGGGCACCTCGCCTTATGCCTCCGTACCTTTGCTTCGGGGACATTTGTTCGAGGGGACCTTTGTTGTGCAGCTTGACCGCATTCACACAATCAGTGTAACATTCATGGGCAAACCTCGGCACGAAGATGGGCAGAAGCGCCAGCTGCAACTGCTCAGCCGCCTGGCTAGTCTGGGGCAAGGAGGGCCACACCACTCCCCGCTCAACAAACTTCTGGCGGCCTTCGGCATCAAAGAAAACCCAGGAATACACAGCTCTGGACAGCTCCGAAATACTGTGTGGTATGCATGATCCATCCCCTGCCTGGTAGAGTCCCGTACTGTCAAACTGCGACCACTCCACCTCCTGTCCATCCTCATCGTGCAAGACAGGCGCATGCTCATCACTAGGGCTGGGCCAGCTGTCAATCGGGTGCAGCATCTTAATTAAGACCGTCGTGCAACGAATCGCCACTGTCAAGGACTTCGCGGCAGAAGTTAACCGATACCTCCGCCTCCTCTCGAGCCGCCACAACATCCTGATGCTGACACTCGTAGATACGGTGCCTGACCGAGTCAAGTCTCTGGCACAGCGGGCACAGTCCTAAACAGAGGTATCCCGACCTTCGAGCCCGATCCTCAGTCCACAAACCTTCACAAAAGGCAGTTTTAACCACATACTTCCCCTGGGCACTCAAACCGATCCCTTTGGCCCGAGGGCTCACAATCCGACGCACGGGTTCAACACAAACCCTAGCCCCTGAGGGCCACCCAAGTTTTTCTGCAAAAACTCTGTCATGGTGTCTCTGGACACCTCGTTCCAACAAAAAGCAAATCATGGAGGGAGTGGTGTACAGTAAACTGTGCTCGATGCCCTTATCATCGATCCAATGCAGGGGGTTCACAGCCGACCACCCTATCCTACACAGAGACAGGTGCATCCTACTGATCGGACCACGCCCCGCCAGAGCCAGCATAAAGAGATATCAAGAGGAAAAAGCCAAAGATATCGTGAGGATCCTTGGTCTTTGGTCCTCTATGAGACATCCTCAACAATGATTTGTCTCGGTTGAGACACCCTCAACGAATTGCTTGTTTCGCTTGAGGCATCCTCCTCAGCAAAAAGAGAAGAAGAGGAAGAGGAGGTAGAGGAGGAAGAGGAGGAAGAGGATGAGAAGGAGGAGAAAGAGCAAGAGGAGGAGAGAAGAACGAGGAAGCAAACATCCAAAGTTCAAAACTTAGTATATTTAATTTGTAAACGCTTACTGCAAATTAAAAGTTTCATCTGCTCGTGTAGGGGTAGCTCATGCGCTTAGTTTTCCCAGGATAATCAACCCCAGCGATAAACAAGTTCAGGGGGCCAGGGAGACAAGAAGAACAAACAAATAGAAAGAGAAATATACAGAAAGAAGGAAGGGAAGAGGAGAAGGATGAGAAGGCGGAAGAGCAGGAGAAGCAGAGCAGGAGGTAGAAGCAAACACCCAAAGTTGAAAACTTATTATATTTAATTTGTAAACGCTTATTGGAAATTAACATGTTCATCTGCTCGTGTAGGGTAGCTCATGTGCTTAGTTTTCCCCGGATAATCAACCCCAGCGATAAACAAGTTCAGGGCGCCAGAGGGAGGAGGAGAAAGAAAGACAGAGAGAGAGAGAGACAGAGAGAGAGAGCGAGGGAAACAGAAAGCAACACAAAGAAAAAGAGAGAAAGAGCACACGTGTTCGCTTCGCTTGATGTTGTTATCCCAACATAAGAAGAAGTAACCTCGATGGCGAACTTTCCCAGTGATAATGAAGTTCGGCCTCCGCGCCCCCGCGCCCCCGACCAAACTCTTATTGGTCGACGATAAAAAACTTTAACGACTTAAGGGGGGATACATTATTATCGTGGTCATGGGGTTATGGGAAGGGGACCAAGAGACCTGCACGTCCCCAGACCCTCTAACCTGCAGGGCGTCCCTCTTACGGAACAAGAGGTCTGCGTCAGGGCGTCGACATGCAAGGTGGCGCTCTGGAGTCCACCCCTTCTGCAGGGCGGCGTTGTGTGAGACGAACCAGGTCGCGCCTGAAAACACCTCACGGCACACTCCAATGCTCGAATTTCGGCCCAAGGCACCGTCTGGCAAATGCCTCCAAGGGTCGAGGCGACTCCTCTTCTGGGGTCGGACGAAAAGGGGAGATCAACAATAATGAGGTTTAGCGAATCAACCTCGTCACCGCTCGGACGTCCAATTCCCCTTCCATGCTTCGGTCTCGTACGCTTGTTCTTCGCAAGATGATCCGACATGATCCTCGATGATCCGCCGAAGAAAAAACATAGGGGGAAACGGGTCCTGACGGAAACGGGTCCTGGGACGAGATCTTCGCCCTGAACCGTTTTCTGCCAGTCCCCAGGGCCGCGGAGGGCCCCGGGAAGCCAAACGCTGCGAAGAACCTCAGGACCCGTTCCCCTCGGACTCGCTGCCCCCGTGGACAAAAACCACACGCCCGAACGAGGACGAGCAGCTCGCATTGGCCACGCCGCACGGCGCGGGAGGCGCCACCTGCTTCGAGGAGAGTGCCCGCCGGCGGAGCAGACACCAGCCGCGTGCCGCAGATCTCGCTCGCCCCCTCCCTTCCCGTCATCGCCCCCTGTCGTCCGAGCCGACTCGATCCTCCACCTTCTCGTCCTTCTCCTCCTCCTCCGCCTCCTCCCCCTCCTCCTCCTCCTCCTCCTTCCCCTCCTCCTCCTCCTCCTCCTCCTCCTCCTCCTCCTCCTCAACCTCCCCGTCCTCCTCGATCCTCCTCCTCGATCCTCCTCCTCCTCCTCCTCCTCCTCATTCTCGGCGGCGAGCGATGGGGGGGAAGCGATAGGGAGAAGGTTCTCTCAGAAGGCGGCGGGGCTTCTCAGAAGCCCTCTGGCCCTCTGAGAAGCTTTCCTGTGCCTTCGGGGGAAGGCTCCGAATACTTCTCGGAAGGCCGGATGACTTCCGAGCCTTCTGATGAGGCCTGCCTTGGGCGCGAAATCATGGGGGGGAGAGGCATGGGAGAAAGGAAGGCGCCCTTTTCGGGCCCTAGAGGCTTCCTATGGGGCCCCGAAGGGCCCCTCTAGGGGCCCTGGAGGGCTCCTTTCCTACAGCCCTCGCTGCCTCCCATGTATTGCCCCCCCCCCCCCCATTACGCGCCCTCCGAAAACCTCATGATTTGACGGCACCGGGGCCCGGTGAGGGCCCCCAGGGGCCGACGGTGGGCGAAAACCCTTCGTCGCGACCCCGTCGCGACGAGAGGAGGCGGGAGGAGGTGAACCCGTACAGCCGCTCGACTCCAGCCCTTCCATTGATCGAGTAGGGGATCAACTACAGAATTTATTTACCCCCAAATTGGTTTGTCTGTCGAGTCTACGAAACATACAAAGATGGATCCGCTGACCTAGCTACCAACATGCTATGTATCTTTTTGTAGTCGATCCCACCCTCCTGGGTTCAGCGCAGCAAAAATGGTGGCGGCTGGGCGCACCGCACGGCCGGCAGGACCACCTGGAACTCGCCCCCCGAGGCAGCGACCTCGGTGACCTGGCGCAGCGAGCGCGTGGCACGTGCGGGCCACGAGGTACGACGAAGCCAGGACGAAGATATCGGGTGATGATACATCGAGAATCTCTGGGATGCGGCGGCTCTGGAGGATGTACCGGGCGCCGCGGCTCCCTCAGAGCGTCCCTGGAACGCTCTGGGAGTGTCCCTGAAGGCTCTGGAACGGATCTTTTCTCGTCGTAACCCCGTCCGACGAAGTGCGGCTTCAATAGCAGCGGTAATGTTCCCAAACGAATGGTGTCTCGAAAAATTCGAGACAACCGATTTTCTGACACTGTGTCCCTTCGGGGATGAAGCGCCGGATCCAAGGAAGCGTTCGAGAGGTCGGGGGCCCGTGCCTCGAATACGTGGAGACGCCAACTGTACGTTTTTTGTTTGTTTGTTTGTTTGTTTGTTTTTTTTTATATAAAAATTGAATCATTGATATTCGTACGCAACCAGGGGCAACCAGGTGAATTCCATCTCTCATACCCGCATTTACAACATGAGGCACAACACGCATCGTACTTCTGGGCGGTGCACCCACGCTAACTCGCTGGCAAACTTAGGGCAGCTAGTGTACACCTGCAGCTGGCCGTTCAGCAACAACAAGAGGATCGTGCATCGACGACCTTTACTGATCCGCTTGGCTCCTGTCCTCTCGCTGCGAACGTCTCAAGCGTGTGAACAACAAACACGTTTGGAAGACTGCTACGTTTGAGCATGTGGCTCTCGCTTGCGACGTTCATGCCCAGAAACATATTTAATCTTGTGCAGCCGGTGCACGTACAGAGGCGGTGAATTTTCAATGTGGGGATCTCGCTGGGCACGTCCTTGAACTTAATGGCCCTACAGACAAGGCGCCTATGTTCGTTCGAAGCGGGGCATGCTGCAATGAAACATAATGCTTGCAAACTCTTGCGATGAAGGGGCTTTAGGCACGGGAAGGTGCATTGCAACATCGCTGATGCGTCGTTGGATTGCTCTGGTCCTCCAGATATTCCTCTTCCTTCTCGTCCTCTTCACATCCCGTCTTCCAACACGTCGTCTTCCTCCTCCTCCTCCTCCTCCTCCTCCTCCTCCTCCTCCTCCTCCTCCCTCCTCCTCCTCCCCCTCCCCCTCCTCCTCCTCTCTCCTCCTCACCTCCCTCCTCCTCCTCCTCCTCCTCTCTCCTCCTCCTCTCCCCACAAGCTCCTCCTCCCACAAGCTTCTCCTCCTCCGCCTCCTCCTCCTCCTCCTCCTCCTCCTCCTCCTCCTCCCCCTCCTCCCCCTCCTCCTCCCCCCTCTTCCCCTTCTCCTCGTCCTCGTCCTCCTCCTCCTCCTCCTCGTCCTTTTCTTCCTCCTCCTCCTCCTCCTCTGCCTCCTCCTCCTCCTCCTCCTCCTCCTCCTCCACAAGCTCCTCCTCCTCCTCCACCTCCTCCTCCTCCTCCTCCTCCTCCTCTCTGCTCCTTCCTCCTCCCTCTCTCTCCTTCCGCTCTATCCCCTCCTCCCCCTAACCCCTCACCGTCAACCTCTTCCCCCTTCCTCCACCTCCTCCTCCACCTCCACCTCCCCCTCCTCCACCTCCTCCTCCTCCTAGATCCCCCCTCCCCTGCTGGTCCAATCTTCTCCTCTCTTCTCCTTCCTGCCATCGCTCGGACGTCCATCCCCCGTGCATTGTTCGGGTTCGGGGTGTGCTTTTTCGCAAGACGATCCCAGATGCTCCGAGATGCTCCACATGCTCTGGCGCTGGCCTCGCCGAGCAGAACAAACACGCGCCCGAGCGCTGTTTCGACGACGACGACGACGACAACGACGACGAAGCAGCCCATGGCCCAAGCCGCGGCGCCTCCCAGCCGTCCCTGGCCATCTGGCCGAGGATGACGCTGCACCTGCGGTCGCACGTGCGCTCTCAGGCGCTGCCCGCGGCGGGTGGCTGCCGGGCTGCCCGCGCCAGGAAGTGCGATGGCGGAGGGCATACAGTAGGTCTGCGCGGCGTCGGTGCGCGCAAAAAAAATGTGACACCGCGTCGATCGTTCAGCCTTGAATCGATCGCGGCCCCGATCGTTCAAGGTTGAATTCCGTCGGGTCCAGTGGCGTCACCGCGTCCCTCGGTGCTTCCTTGAACGCCTTCGCTGGCGTCGCAAGCGCGCCATCGCCGCATGAACCTACCGTACCGGAAACAGCTGAGGAGCACTTCCGTCATGGAGAAAATCCTGGAGGCCTCGCGCGTCAATCTGGGACCCGACTTCAATCTGCGTCGGACCGACGTGGCGTTTACGTCGGGTTCACCTCGGACTGGCGTTGAATTCACGTCCGACTCGGACCAGACTCGCGTCGGAACATCGCCGCGCGCACGACAACCCGTGCCTGGCGGAGCGGACGTGCGGACCATGTGATGCAACTATGGAGCGCTGCGCGAGGCCTCCGGGATTTTCCTCACCGCTTCCCCTCTCCTGCCAGACTCGGCGACCCGAGAGACTGGCAGCAGGCACGAGCGATCTTCGGTGCGCGGCTGGCTGGCCGCTGCGTGCGGTGCGACAACAGCAGCCTGCGCGCGCGGGCTTGGGCCCTGCAGCGCCCCCGAGAGCCGCGCGCCAGAGTAGAGTCACTCAGTCGAAGAGTCACTCTCGCGTCTGGCCGAGGGACTCGAAGTTGGCACGCTGGGGGAAGACAGCGGCGAAGCACAGTGCCCGTCGCCAGTATGTCTTCCCTGTAGGACAACTGCATTGACGCCTGGGGACTCGGGACTTCACAGGCCTCTGCAGAGCTCTGGAGGCATCCAGGGACCTACAGAGGAAGAGGAGGAGGAGGAGGAGGAGGAGGAGGAAATGAGAACGGGAGTGATTTCTCCGCCTCCTCAATCTCCTCCTCCTGCCTCCCCTCGCCTTCCCTTGAACCTCCCCCTCCTCCTGCTCCTCCACCTGCGGACGCATCCGCGCGCGCGGGAGCGCGGGTGGGGGCAAGAAGGGATCTCATAGCTCCCATGCTGTGCTGTGTGAAAGTGGAAACTTATTATCTGTTCTTGTCACTGTGCTCTTGACGGGCAATTGGCCGTAAAACGTCGTATTCAGGCCTGTGGCAGAACCAGAGCCGTATCCGGTTAGCGGCAAATAGAACATGTCCGCGACGAAAAACCTGGCGCTTGGGATGGTGCCAAGATGTGTAAGCCCTTACGCCGCCTTCGCTTCCTCAACCACCTCCTTCTCCTCCTCCTCCTCGTCCTGCCACGACACCATCGTCGATCTCCCCGGACCCAAGCAATAAACTCCGTTCTCCATTTTCCCAATTACCTTTCGTAATTCCCCCCCCCCGCCATTGATCCCCATGACCCATCTACTCCTCAGACTCTCCTCCACCTCTTTCCTCCCTCCCTCCTCGTTCTACTCTTTTCCCCCCTCCCCCTCCCTCCTGCTACTCCTCTTCCATCCCGCTGAAGGGGGCAGGAGGGGGAGGGGGAAGAGGAGGGGGCGGAGGAGGGTGAAGGGACATGCAATTAGTGGAGAGGAGGAGGAGGAAGAGGAGGAGGAGGAGGAGGAGGAGGAGGACCAATAGAAACCCAAGACGGCCCAAGACTCATCAACGATGTTGGGATAAACCCTCCCTCCAAGCTCCCTCTTCACAGGCCCCTACAACCAGGGTTTATAATGTTCCAGGGAGAACAATATGAACCCCAATCAATGTTCCCAGAACATCAAAACCCAGATTAATAATGTTCTGGGGGGAGACCTTATGAACCCTGGTCAAGATTCCGGGAACATTATAAACCCAGGTTCATATCTATTCGGGGTTCGTCCTGCATCTCCGAGCAGATCTCAAGGGATGGCGGCGGCAACGGCATCAGCCCCCGCCTCCGGCGTCTCGCCGTCGCCCGCGGGCGACGCCGCGGCAAGCACCGGCTCTGCAAAGACGAGCGGCCCCAGACGCTCCCCCGATTTCGGGAGGTTCCCCCGCTGGGCCGCCTCCAACATAGACTGGACTCGTGGATCCCGCCCGCCTCCCACCCCGCCCCGAGGCCGACGGACAATCGATTGGGTCTGACGGCGTGCGCACCGCATCGAGAGCAAGTGGCCACGCGGTCGATCCACTCGACCACATGGCCAGGCCCAAATTCCTGAGGGTCGCACGCCCGGGTGGAGAGGGAGGGACTTGAGGGAGGACCGTGTCGACGCTTGCCTCCAGCATACTGTGCAGACAAGGCCATCCACAGGAAATGCAACCAAAACGATGCGAGGTGGGCTTGCGCACACGCTTGTCACGAACGACACTCACGATCGGACGAAGGACGACGGGCATGGCAAGCCTCGCAACCCTCTCAGCGGCGAAAGCGAGACATCTCATGGTGGCCTTCGCTCGTTCCAGTTCGAATGTGTGTCCCTTGATCACACTAGACGCGCCCGAACTTTCGAAGGCACCGAGTTTGGCAAATACGTCGGCCCACAGATTGCTGAACAAATGCTCGGGGGGCTCTCCTGACTCAAAGGACGCGCGCAGCCCCTCCTCGAGGCTGCGACGGGCCTGTGTCCAAACAAAAACTGGGAGACGATCATCATCACGATCAAGTTCATGCACCTGTCGCCAGACCGACGCATGGGAAGCCCTCGCCCCAAGCATGCCTTCCTACCCAGAAATTCCCCTCGAGCTGGAGCCCCAGGTGGTCTGTGAACACCGTCGTGGGACGAGCCGCCTTCTCGAGACCTCGGAGCGCCACAAAACGCTCGGCCCGAGGGATCCTCTGAATCTGCCCCGCCCCCCCCCCCAAAAGCGCTTTGCACGGGAAGAGGTCGGGCGACAGGGCAACAATGGCCCATCCAGATCCACGGGCCTCAGGGAAATCACTGTCAAAACGAAAGCCGGTGGTGAATATTCTATTCGGCCAGGCCATGTGCACGGCGCCCCATTCTTTCACAGGCAGGGTCGAGGGAGCGCCGGGCCCGAACTCAGGCCGCAGAGGGATGGCGTAGAGGAGATCGATGGGCGAAACATCTAAGATTGCGTCCGCACCCGGGCGACCACGTGCAAGTAAATCCCGTCGCATATTGACGACATCCGCAGGGTGTGGCCTGCACTCCTCTGACCCCTGCTGCTTGTGTACAGAGCAGGGTATAACTCATGCTCCAAGTCCGCCCTCTCATCGCCGCAGCAGTCGCACATAGCGTTGTCGGTGTACCCCGCCTCCTTACGTCGAGCTGGCGGCCACGTTCCATTAGACTGCCACTTGGCCCAGGGCTCCTCGCAACCCTACCGACATCGGCTGGAGATGGCCGAAGCGGAGGGAGGGCACGCGTCCAAATAGGTCGCCTGCGGCCGTCAGCTTCGCGCGGCGGGGCGCCGGGTAGATGGTCTAATAGGTGGTGACGCCGCCAGCGCTCCAGACTCCGACGCATGAACGTCACTACTTCCGTTGGCGAGAAACGCAGCAGCGATATGTGGAGTCCGGTGTCGTCGACTAGCACCGTGGCCTGAGACATGTCCAATTCAACTCGTTTCAGCGTAAGCCAAAACACAGACAGCGGGACCTTGGCACTGGCCCCAGTGAAACCACCTCGAAAGTCAGCGATCTTACCACGAAGGGCCGTCCGAGCCCGCTGCAGACGAGACGGAGAAAACCATATGTGCCACACCCACTCCGCGTACTGCACCAGGATGCTGCCAATAGCGTGGACCATCGGGTTGGTAATTCCACCGCTTCTGCACGTCCAGGTACGGCGTAAAGCGACCCGAACCTCCATGGCCGCACAGGCGACTGGCCGAACTACGCATCTGCCGCAGCTCGGTGTCGCTGATGCCGCTGCCAGCCGCGCCGTGGCCCACCGACGGGAGCACCCGGGTGCTCCAGGGCCAGGCTTCTCCGGTGTTGCCAGCGCCGCACCGCAGGGCGTGCCATACATGCCTGCGCCATTGCATCTGCTTCAGCCTTGCCTTCTGCAGGGGACGCGTCGCAGACGAAGCATTGAGGTCGTGGACCAGATACCTCATGTGCTTCTTACCCTGGATGCGCAACATCTTGGCTAGCCCCTTGAAGTGGTACGCCGCCTTGGCGGAGGTGGAACAATCGTTCGGCTTCTCCACTTGGAGCACCAGGTTAAACTTACGAACAGATTTACAGAACACCGAAGTGGCCGTAGCCAAAGCACGAGAGCCACGCGGGTCGGCGCCAACTCAGCTCACCGCCACATCATCGACCAGATCTAGGCGAGCGCGTTCCAATACTCGCAAAGTAACTGCTCGCAAGTGGCCTGGATTCGCTGCGGGGGATTTACGATACATTACATCGAAGCAGACATGTGTTTTTGTCGCGGACGTTTGCGAGTAGGCACTTTGCGAGTAGTGGAACGCGCTCGGTGAAGATCACGAGGACGGACCTCCTTGGCGATGGTTGCCGCGAGCTTGAGGCTCCGTGACAAGATTAGCATCAACAGCGTCGTGGCGTGCGTGCAGCCTGCCAAGAAATCCATAGGTACACGTACCGCGTGAAGGAGAACGAGCTGTAGGCGTAGACCGCCCGCAGCTGCTGGTAGAGAGATACCAGCACGAATGCAAGACGCATGAGGAACTGGTTCTCCCTGCACTCCAGCAAGATCGCCTTGTGGCGGATCCTCTCGCAGTACTTGAGCATGTCCAGCAGGATGCTCAGAGCCCGCTCGTCCACGAGGTCGGCCACCTCCTTCTCGAGCGCCAGGTCGAACGCAACGTCCGTGGAGCTGCGCCCGCCCACGTGCCCCCACACCTCCGCAGGGGCGAACGAGGCCTCCCACTGGGTGCAAGTAGGGCGCCGAGCGCGGCCCCGTGCGCACCAACGTATTCCGCAGTGCGACGCGCCGCTCCCCTCCGCCCGATGCGATGGGCCGCTCCCCTCCCCCCTGGCTTGGGGAGCCGCACCAGCTTGGTGATGAGGCGTTGGCTGGGCCTTGACAGCAGCGCCTCACAGCGCTCGAACAGCCTGGCCAAAGTGGCCACCGCGCCATCGGAAAGGTGCTACATGGCCCGAGGGGCGACGTTGATCTGGCCAGTGCCAGTCTTCCAGCTGAAGCCGCGGATCGCCTCGCGGATGCTCTCGCCAGACAAAGGCGGCAGCGCCTCTCACAAGTAAGCGTCGCAGGGCTTGGCCACCTCTCTGTCGCCATGGCGATCCCAGAACCCAGAACTCTTTCCAGTACTGCAGCGGTCCCCCAATTGGGAGGCGTTGTGCAGCCCGCTGACACTATCGATCACCTCCTGGAAGACCCGCGGCTTAGAGAAGCGATGAGCTGGACTGGCTCCCGTGGCAAAGGCACTCTCGGCCCAGGTTTTCCAACCCTTGGTCACCTTCTGGTCGTGTTGCTGCTGTCGCCGCTCAGCTTCAGCCAGGAGGAGGAGGAGGAGGAGGAGGAGGAAGAGGAGGAGGAGGAGGAGCAGGAGGAGGAGGTGGAGGAGGGAGGAGAGAGGAGGGAGGAGAGAGGAAGGAGGAGAGAGGAGGAGAAAGATGAGACGGAAAGGACAGACACCTGGGCGGCGCGGGGCGCCTCTGCGCCATGAGGCCTCGCGCGCCTGCCTCTCCGGCCTGTCGGACATGGCCCGTCTTGCTGTCGGTGGAGACCTGGGGTCGGCCCTCGCGCCCCCTCCGCTCCGCCCCCCCCCCGCGCCTGGCCCTAGGGCGGGCGGGCGGGACTGGGTGACTCTTGCTCCTCCTCCTCCTCCTCCTCCTCCTCCTCTTCCTCCTGCCGCTTCTGCTCCTGCCGCGCCTGCTCCTCCTGCTGCTCCTGCTTTGGGCTCATCTGTGCGGGCAGGCCTCGACGCGACGACCACCGATACAGGCAGATGCGCACAAGCGAGCCACTATTGGGCCACTGCTCGTGCTGCTGCTGGAGACGATATAGTCGGAACTAGGCCAGAAGAACATCCTTCAAGAACATGCGTCCCTCCGCCGGCCCAAACGGAAAGACGTTCGTGGCCAGTGGGCGCCCTTCCCCAGGATGCGCAAGAACATCCAACAAGCACGAAGAACGCTGGGGCACCCTCCCCGAACCCACCTCGATCTTATGTCTTTGGTCCGACTGTACACGCTGGCCAGGCATGGCAGTGACCTGGTCCTGGCTTCGCGGCGGCCGCCGCAGCCTGCCTGGGACGCCCGCGCGGCAGCAGCCTGGCTCTAGGACGAGCAGCCCGTCGCTTCGGGCTTCGTCGCCGCGGGATGCCAACCACCGTGCGCTTGAAGGCGAGCTCGATGAGCGGCAAGCCGCGACACGGGAACGAGCACTCATCGTTACCCGGAGCTCGCGGCGACGTCCCAGGCCCCCGGGCCCAGGCCGAAAGTCTCCTAAGCAACCTCCTTCCGCCGTGCGCCTCCCTGCAGGTGGCGCCTCTGCGACCCGGAGACGGGCGCGCAGCTCGGGCCCGAACAGACGGTCCATTCGAGGCCTCCTAGACGGGGTCCGAGTGTCGCAGTAGATGGGGTCGGAGGATCGCGCCGCATCGGGGATGCATCGGCGATGCATCGGCCATGACCTGGCGACGTCGGCGCTGCATCGGCGACGTCGACGTAGAGAAAATCGGGCTCCACATCGAGCCGCATCGGCGATGCGGCGCCATCCTCCGACCTCATCTGCTCCGACCCCATCTCTCGGGAGCGGCCAAGAGGGGGGTGTCCAAGAGGGGGGGTGCAAATCATGGCCGGCGGCATGTGCGCGGCCTAGCTGGGGGGCCAGGGACGCAATGAAATAGGAAGAGGCGCCATGAAATCTGGGGAAATATCATGGCCCCCGCCATGGTATCCCCCCCCCCCCAGTCATCACCCCCCTCTTTTCCGCCCCCGAATCTCGGAGGCCCGGATCCGTGCGGTGGCTTGGGCGGTTCTGGCCCCGGGAGGGACGCCGGGCCCAGGTCGCTGGCACTCGCCGCCGCCGTGCGCGGCGCTGCCCTGGCAGCACAGCGCAGCGGGGGCCCATGGGGCGAGGCGGGGGGAAGAGAGCTGGGCTGCAGGAGGGGCTCCTCGACCAGCTCGACCACGTGAAACCTTCCACACGAACCCAACCACGATGCCCCAGGACGTCCATCGACTTTCGGTGTGGGAGCGTCACGCTCTCCGCAGCAGAGCCATCGAAATCCAAGACACCCGGGGCACCCTGGAGGCAAGCAGGGTGTTTCTTGGCATGGGTCTCCACTGTGCGCCGTCTCCCAACAGCTCGTCGCCCGGTTGATCGGCGACTCCCTTAGCGGGGAGGCGGACGCCGCACCTCCCGCGCGCCGCGGCGGCCAGGGCCACCGGAAGCTGCGGCCTCGTGGTCACTCTGGCGCTGCTTGAAGTCAGTCTGGTGGTCGGACTGGGGGCTTCAGCGTCGGTGAGGAAGGTGGCGCCGATTCGCAGGAAGGGGCTCTCGGTCGTCGCAGACGAGGTGAACCTCAGGCCGATCAGCTACGTCGACGACTTGGAGGGCGACTTGGATGCAGCGTGGCTGGCGGTCACCTGCCCCCTCCTGGAGCGTTTCGCGGGTTCGATGCAGGCCTCATGGCGGCCACGCTACTGCTCGCCCTGCAAGTCCCCGGGCGCCCCTGACCATCCAGACATCGGATCAGCTGCACGTTGTTTTTTGTGGACCAAACCGTATGAGGTGGGCGTCAGCACGAGAGAGCAGGCAATCACTCTGGATGGCCAATGATGGACTGCTAGAAGAGGAAGAAAAGGCCCCGCACGCCACCGACTGTTTGTGATCAGGAGCAGCAGGATGCGAGGTCCACCTTGCTTGGGTGTGACCTGGCTTGGAGAGGCGCGGTGAAAGTGCACACCAAGCACGCCAGGCTGCGCGGACGTTCCTGGCCTTCCGCTGCCGCCTCCGTGGGCGAAGACTCCGTTTGCCTTCGCCTGGGCCCACTGGTCGGCCCGACCCACGACCTCGCTGATTTTCGGCGTGGGCCAGGGGCGCCAGGCCAGGGTACACCTGCTCAGCGCCCTGATGAGGGCATTGATGGGCTTCTTCCAAGCGGCGGCGCCAGGGGTCTCCTTGGACTTAGCCGTGCCAGACGACATCGTGGTGTCACTCCTGATGGTGCAGTTTGAGGACGATGCGTTCGTCCTCCAGCCTAACGAGGCAAGGCTGGCGCGGGTGAACATAAGGCTGACGAACTTCTGTGCAGACACCGTTTTCAAGGAGGCGCCAAAGGCCCCGCGGCCATGGCAGAGGGCGGCCCGCCGCTGTAAGTATAGGCGGCCTGCGGCGCAGTGGATGGGGTCCCTGTCCGCCCGCCTACGGAACCAGAGGCTCTGGGCGCTGTAGCTGACGACGCGATGTCGTTGGAGCCGGTACTGGCCCGCGTGTGCGGCAGGCTGCTCGGCGGAGCGGGGCGCCTGGTGGCGGCGTTGACGGGACGGGGCCTCGGGCTGACCCTCCAGCCCAGTCAACTCTGAACACATGACAAACGCCCCCCCGCCCCCCGCATGAGGAACATTACCGGGGGGACCGTCGAGCGACGCGGAAGCTGAAAGTGGCAACCGCTCGACGGTTAGCCAACGACAACGCCGCGACATTCAATGCGAACGGCGCGCTGCTGCCATGCTCATTGGCATTCGAACTTGGCGTGTTCTCGTGCAGGCACGCTGTCAATGCCCCAAACCATTGTGGACATTCGCGCGCTCGTGCCAGGGCAAAAACCAAGTGCGCGTCGGCCCTTGGCGGCGCCGGCAAAGGGCCCCACGCGGCGCCCGGGGCCCGCCCTGCACGGGCGCGCGTCGAAAAGTTTAGATCCACCCAAAAAACGAAGTGTAGGCACCAGGCGAAAACAGTTTATATAGACTTCATATCAAAAACAATCTAAACTTTTCCGAAGCAGAAAATCTCGCGCGGCAGAGCCCCGAACAGTTTATATAAACAGGAAAACGCGTTTTTATAAACGCCCAAAAAACTTTATATTGGCCCTGTTGCCTTCAGAGAAACGCTCCCGATCTAAATTTTTCCGTCGGCGGGGTCCGGAGGGGGCGACGGAGGCGGGCGCGGGGGCCCTCGGCTGGGCCAGCGGCGCTGCCGCCCGAGGGACAGCGCCGCCGTCGCCTCAAACTGCGAGCCGCGGCCGTGGCAGACGGCGCGGGCGCGGCCGCGTCGAGCGGGCCCGGGACGTGGCCGCGCGCGCGGGGCCCCCCGCGGCCCCTCCTTGGCCTTCAGGTCCCTGCTTGATCTTCGGGCCCCTCCTTGGCCCGCGGGCCCCTCCCTGGCCCGCGTGTCCCCTGCGCGCCTGCCCTGGCCCGCGGGTCGGGTCACCCACCCAGCCCTCCTTATTCTTCCCTCCAGGCTGCCGCCTGCCCCGCAGGGCCAAATCCTGAGGGACAACGCCCCCGCCCTCGCGCCGATGGCCTGTAGGCTCTGCGGGGCGTTGGCGCACGGCTCGGGGTGGCCGCTGCCCCGCGGGGCGAAGCGCTTAACGATAGATCAGCAGATGGCTCCTCTTCTTCCTTCTCCTCCTCCTCCTCCTCCTCCTCCTCTTCCTCCTCCTCCTCCTCCTCCTCCTCCTCCTCCTCCTCCTCCTCCTCCTCCTCCTCCTCCTCCCCTCCTCCTCCTCCTCCTCCTCCTCCTCCTCTTCTTCCTCCTCCTCCTCCTGCTCCTCCTGCTCTTCCTTCTCCTGCTCTTCCTTCTCCTGCTCCTCTTCCTCCTCCTTCTTCCCCTCCCTCCCCTCTTCTTCGTATTCCTCCCTCCCTCCCTCCTCCCTCTCTAATGCCTCGCCCGCTCCAACCCCCGCTTGTCCCACCACCTGGCCCGATCCGTGGCGGGGGGCGGGCAGCCTTCACGATCAGGTCGGCCTGCCGCGCGTGGGTCGTCGTCGGCGTCGGCGTCGGCGTCGGCGTCGTCGTCGTCGTGACCGTGGCCATGGCCGTGGCCGTCGTCGTCGTTGATATGGCTGCCCTCGTCGACGTCGTCGTCGCCGTCGCCGTCGTCGTCGTCGTCGTCGTCGTCGTCGTCCTCCTCCTCCTCCTCCTCCTCCTCCTCCTCCTCCTCCTCCTCCTCCTCCTCCTCCTCCTCCTCCTCCTCCTCCTCCTCCTCCTCCCCCCCTCGCCTCCTCCCCATCCCCCTGTCATTTCTCGTCCCTCCTCCCTCGTCCACATCCTCGGTCCTCGCTGCCTCCTATCACTTCCTCCTCCTTGTCCCGCCTCTCGCCTGTTCCTCCTCCTCCTCCTCCTCCTCCTCCTCCTCCTCTTCCTCGTCCTCCTCCTCCGCTTCCTCCTCCTCCTCCACGTCGTCCTCCTTCATCCCGCCTCCTCCTCCTCCTCCTTCTCCTCCTCCTACGCATTCTTCTTCTCTTCAATCCGCTCTGGTCGTCCTCCTTTTTTCCCTCCCATGAATCTTCCTGTCTTCTCCCTCTTCTTTCCTCCCTCCTTTTCACCCTCCCTCCTGACTCCTTGCGCCTCGTCTCTTAAAACATCCGCGCCATGAAACGCAAAGCGCCCGCCCAACCAAGAAACTACTCACGTCCTCCCGCCTCCTCCTTCCTCCCCTTTCCCTTTGCGGAAGGGGGGAAACCTGGGCACTGGAGCGAGGAGGAGGAGTGGGAGGAGAAGGGGGAGGAGGAGAAGGAGGAGGATCAGCAGCGAGGAGGAGCGAGGAGGGAAGAGGAGGAGGAGGAGGAGGAGGAGGAGGAGGAGGCCGAGGAGGAGGAGGAGGAGGAGGAGGAGGAGGAGACGGAGGAGGAGGAGGAGGAGGAGGAGGAGAGAAGAGGAGGGAAGAGAGGAGGAGGAGGATGGGCGAGTTAAGGAGGGAAGAAAGACAGGAAAGAGGCAATGAGGATGGAAGAGCTTGTCGTATGAGCCTCAATCACAGCTTGCACTAACGTGAGCCCGAGAATAATGCAAATCCTTTGGGGCCAAAACACTGATACACGCCTGAACGGCCCAAGATCGCCTGGTCAGCGCCCGCCTCGACGGCCGCTCATCCCTTTCCCTCCCGTTCCCGTGCGTCCGCGACACGCGCTGCTCCAAGAAATCCCGGCGGAGCGCCAACAGTTTATGCTGATGGCCTTTCTTCGTCCTGGAGCGAAAACCTCCGGCTCGAAATATAATTATATGTGATTAATTATATGCTTATATCTATGTACATATGAGTCGCCAGGATCTAAGAGTTTAAGGTTAGGAGGTTAGGAGGTCGGGCATGTCCTCCTGCAGGCGGATTTTGGACAACAAGTGCAGAATAATCAGACACATGCGCGTCAAAAGTGTCAACAAACCGCCCCCGAACTCTTTTCTTTTCCAGCTTCCCGAACTCCCCCCCTGCAGATGGACATGCCCGACGTAAGCGTAACGATTGCCCCCCCCCCTCTCTCCGAAAGGGGCCTCGCTGAGGCCTGGCACTGCCGGCGCCACCGGCGGCGCGGCCGGCGGCGCGGCCTCCGCTGCCAGGGGGGCCGCCGGGGCGGCCAGGGCCGCCGGCTGCCCGACGGCCAGCGCGGCGGCCTCTCCGCGGCCAGGGGCGGAGGCCGCCGCCGCCGCCGCCTACCTCCTCCTCCTCGTCCTCCTCGTCCTCCTCGTCCCGCCGCCTACCTCCTCCTCCTCGTCCTCCTCGTCCTCCTCGCCTCCTCTCCTCCTCCTCCCCCCCTCCTCCTCCTCCCTCCTCCTCCTCCTCCTCCTCCTCCTCCTCCTCCTCCTCCCTCCTCCTCTCTCCTCCTCCTCCTCTCCTCCTCCCTCCTCCTCCTCCTCCTCCTCCTGCCTCCTCCTCCTCCTCCTCCCCTCCTCCTCCTCCTCCCCTACCTCCTCCTCCTCCCCCTCCTGCCCTGCTCCTGCTCCTGCTCCTGCTTCCTCCTTCCTCCTCCCTCCCTCCCTCCTTCCCTCCTCCCTCCTCCTCCTCCCTCCTCCCTCCTCCTTCTCCTCCTTTCTCCTCCTCCTCCTTTTCCTCTCCTCTCCTTTTTCCTCCTCCTCCTTTTCCTCCTCCTCCTTTTCCTTCCTCCTCCTCCTCCTCGCCTCCTCTCCTCCTCCTCTTTCCCCCTCCTCGTCCTTCTCCTCCTCCTCCTCCTCCTTCCTCCTCCTCCTCCTCCTCTCCTCCTCCTTCCGCCTTCCTCCTCCTCCTCCTCCTCCTCCCTCCTCCTCCTCCTCCCACCTTCCCCTTCCCTCCTCCTTCCCTTTCCTTTTCTCCTCCTCCTCCTCCTCTCTCCTCCTCCTCCTCCTACTCTCGGCCTCGTCTTCGTCCTTGTCCTCGTCCTCGTCCTCGTCCTCGTCCTCCTCCTCCTCCTCCTGCTCCTCCTGCTCCTCCCTGCTTCTCCTCCTCCTCCTCCCTTCTCCCTCCTCCTCGTCTCCTCCTCCTAGTCCTGCGCTTCTCCTCCTCCTCCACCTCCTCCTCCTCCACCTCCTTCTCCCCCTCCTCCTCCCCCATGATCCTTGCTGCTCCGCAGCATCCTTCCTTTTCCGTCCTCCTCCCTTCTTCTCTTCCTTCTGCTATCTCCTCTCTTCTCCCTCTTCCTCCTCCTCTTCCTCCTCCTCCTCCTCCTCCACCACGTCCTCCTCCTCCCTTCTCCCTCCTCCTCTCTCTCCTTTCTCCCTCCTCCTATCCTCCTTTCTCCTCCACCTTGCTTCCCTCCCTCCCTCCTCCTCCTCCTCCTCCTCCTGTCTCCCTCCTCCCTTCTCCCTCCTCCTCGTCCTCCTCCTTTCCTCGTCTCGTCCCTTCTCCCTCCTCTCCTTCTTTCCTCCTCCTCCTCCTTCTCTCCTCCTTCCTCCTCCTTCCTCCTCCTCCTCCTCCCACCTCCTCCTCCTCCTCCTCATTCTCCCCCCCTCCTCTTCCACGTTCTCCTCCCTCCTCCTCCTCCGCCTCCACTTCCTCCTCCTCCTTTTCCTCCTCCTCCTCCTCCTCCGCCTGCTCCTCCTCCTCCTTCTTCTCCTCCTTCGACGACGACGAAGCCGTGGGTGAGATCATTGAGGCTGCCTCCGCCGCTGACGACGGCGCTCGTGGCAGAGGCCGCCACCAACCAGCAACGATGAGACGAAGCCGGGACTGGGACGAAATTTGACATGGACAAGTTGGGGATCTCCACCGCCGTCGTCGCCTTCGGACGATAACGATGTCACGATGCGACCCGTTCGGGATACAATCGAAATAGATAATACGGACAGGCAACCTTTCCAAGGGTGATTACCTTTGCATCCTTGCCTCCTCGGTCCATTCTCTTGATAACTTTCGATGGCCCGCCGCGCTCGAAAAAGCTCCAACACGGTCGTCCAAGGGGCTTGCATCATTATCGCGTATCCTTACTATCAATTTTGACTGTACCTTGAGATACTGGCGTCTCCTTTTACTCGATCCGGGCGTTGAAGCCCGCTTTTGGTCCCTGGGACCCTCACAGATCGATCCGGCTTGAACATTGAAGAGACTGGGGCTCTGGTTGTGATTTTTCACGATGTTGTATGTTGTTCGCCACGTTGGATCTCAGGGGATGTCAGGGTGCGATTGGCTCAGGATACGTTCCAAGAAGTCAGGAAGTCCTCTGAGATCCGACATAGCGACACAAAGGCAACCTCGTGAAACATCACGACATAACCCCCTGGACCCTGTCTTTCTGCGTCTTTGTTCCCTACCTAGGCTCTGCCTAGAGTAGTTTTTACCCTCTGTGCTTAAAAGGGCAGGGCAGTGGAAATCGCCCCGGGCGGTTACCCCGGTATGCGCCCCGCGGTTCCCCCAGTTACGTCCCCTTAGCTTAGCGTAGCAGCGTAGCATTAGCATAGCATAGCAGCGCAGCATTAACATAGCATAGCATAGCATCGCTTAGCGCAGCATTCGCATACTATAGCATATCGTATCATATCATAGCACAGCATCTCATAGCATAGCATAGCGCAGCATAGCATAGCGCAGCATAGCATCGCATAGCACAGCATAGCATAGCGCGTCATAGCATACCATAGCATAACATAGCTTTGCACAGCACATCATAACATAACGTATCATAACATGGCGCAGCATAGCATAGCATAGCACATCATAGCATAGCGCAGCATGACATAGCATAGCATAGCGCAGCATATCATAGTATAGCATAGCATAGCGCAGCATAGCATATCTTAGTATCGCCTAGCATAGCATGATATAGCGCAGCATAGCATAGCATATCATAGCATAACATGGCATATCATAGCATAGCATAGCGTAGCATACCATCGCATAGCATAGCATAGCATAGCATAGCATAGCATAGCATAGCGCAGCATAGCATAACATAGCATAGCCTAGCATATCACAGCGCAGCCGAGCGTAGCTGTCGGTGTAGATGTCGGTGTAGATGTAGATGCTGCTTTCCTAGATGCTCCAACTCCTAGGTAGGGTCGCACTGGGATAATTCGAGCTGGATCCACCTGTTATTTTTCCCCCGTCTTGAGTCGTTCTGTATTGACGGTGTCGCTACTGATCTTGGGCAGGGAAGGCGGCGCTGCCACTGGCATCCACCGGCACGGGCAGGCCGACCACTTGCCAGACCTGCGGCTGCCGCCCTCAAAACACTCCAACGGCCCGCGACGTCACCGCGCCGCCCCACCGCTGCCGGATTTGGCACGCCGCGCTCCCCCTGCACGGGGATGCGGCCCTCGAGCCTCCCCCGCGGGCGGCGCGCGGAGAAGAGCTCCCGACCACAGCTGGGCCTGGCGCGGAGCCGCGTGGGGTGCTCTCCCGGGCATCACTTTCCGTCGACGCCCCACAGGCCCTCCTCGTAACCGAACGTCCCGTAGTACCTGTCGCCGAAGTCCCCGACTCCTGGCACGATGAACTTCTTCTCGTTCAGATGGCTGTCCAGCGCGGTCGTCAGGATCCTGACCGCCGGCACCTTCTCCGCCAGTGCCTTCAGGCCCTCAGGGCACGAGATGACGTTGAGGAAAATGATCGCCTGCTCATTCACCCCAGCCTCCTTCAGCACATTGATGGCTTGCAGCGCGGAGCCGCCAGTGGCGAGCATAGGATCGCAGAGGAGGACCGCCATGTGCTCGATTTTTGGCGGGAGCTTGTGGTAGAACAGCTTGGGCAGGGCGGTCTCCTCGTCGCGCTGTATCAAGATCTTGGCCGTCTTCGAGTCGGGGCACACCTTACGGACCGCCTCCAAGAGGATTGCGCCGGACCGCACGATGTCCACGCAGCAAATGTTGTGGCTGTCGTGCGGCCTGAGGCCAGAGCAAGTCCCACACGGGGTCTCGATCGTCGTCTCCGTCGAAAACCTGGCCAGCCCCTCCTCGGCGAGGATGCTCATGAGCCTGTCCGAGGCGCTCACGTAGTCCTTTTGGCAGGTGTTCTTGTCGCGGATGATGCTGAGCAGCATCGTGATGCCTGGGCTGCTGAGCACCTCGGCAGCTGGGTTGTGCTCGGTCCTCGACGAGGCCATCTCGAGTCCGCGGGAACCGCGCGTCGGCGGCGGCGCGGATGAGCAGCAGGTTTTGGCCAATTGCTTGAGCCCAAATGGCTACGGACGAACTGGATCCACCTGTCAGGGTCCTGGGCCCCGAAACTGGGCGAAAACGGCCGCCTCGAAAAAATGAGACGCCAGGATTTCAGACGGTCTACCCCCAATCGAATCGATACGTCGGATTGGCGATCGAGAAGCATCGGCTCGGCGGAACTCGGCAGCCAGGTCGGGAGAAGTCGCATCGCCGGAGCTCGGCAAGCCAGTCGGGCCTCCGGGGAGACATCGGGATCCGAATCGGGACGCGAACGACGCCCGGCTCGAAGCAGAACGAGACGCCGGGAGGCCTCCGGGAGGCCGCCGCCGCCGCCGCTGGGCGGCGCGGCGTCCGGCAGCGCGGCGGCCACCTGGGCCGCGGCGGCGAGGTCGGGGAGGGCCACGGGCTGCTCGGCGGGCGAGGCCTGCCGCGGCCAAGAGTAGGGGGGGGAAACAAACCTACCTCGCCTTTGACCACCCTCGCTTCCAAGAGGTACCAAACGATGCCAAACTACGGCCTGTGCTGGTCAGGCCGCTTGATGAGGAGGCGCGTGGCATGACTTGGTTTTGCCTGGAAGCGAAAGCGGGGTAAGGAATTCACGCTCTGAAAGTGGGGGGGGCGGACGCCCAAGAGGTCCTGGTACATCAACTTTCCCGAGCTGGGCGTCTTCGCCGTCTCTCGGGCCCCGCAAGACGAAGCCACGACGAGGATCATATCGAGTGGGGAAAGATCGGGAGCTCTGCAGGGTGTCTCGGGCGCCGCGGCCTCGGCTGTACAGGTCCACCTCCTCCCACCTCCTCTCGTCGCGAAGGGGTCACGACGAAAGGTTTTTTTTTGTTGCCAGTTTCGACCCTCGGGGGCCCTCGCCGGGCCCTGAGACCGTCAAAAATTGGTTCGGAATGAAAAGCCAGCCCTGGGGAACGGTCTCGACTTCTAGGGACCCCGTATGGGAAAAATCCGCCGACTCCTTGGGGTTCCATCGGCGTGTGAAATGCTTCACCCTCCCCAAACCCCTTCCCCGGGAGCTGGATCCGGTCGATTTGGAAGGGGGGGCGTCTATCCGGGCCGGCTGGGGGTCAGAAATTCTGCCCGGAGGGCATCGGGGCCTCAAAACGGGCCACGATGTCCCCACGAGACCTCCCAGACGATCCAAGAAGGCCCCAAGTCGCCGAAACATCGTCCGAACACGCCCAAGATGACCTCCAGACGACACAAGATGCCTCCAAGATGCCCCAAGAGGCTTCGAAGAGGCCTCCCAAGAGGGCCCCAAGAGGCCCAAATCGGTGATTTTAAGCGTTTTTTCCATAAATGTTTGGCTTTCTCGCATTTTTTTTTGGCTTTCGACGCTCGAAGACGGCCCAAGAGGCCCCCACGACCGCCACAAGACGGCCCAAGAGCCAAGAAGCCCCCAACACGCCCCAAGGGGACCCCAAGAGGGTCCCAAGAGGGGCCCAAGAAGGGCCCCCCAAAGGGACCACGAACAGAAAATTAAAGCTTTCCGCCCCAAGAGGCCCCCGGGAGGCCCAAAGAGGCCCCAAGGGGCCCCAAGAGGACCCCAAGAGGACCCCAAGAGACCCTCAAGAGGCTCCCAAAAACACCAGAACAGCCCCCCAGAAGCCTCCAAACTGCCTCGGGCAGGCCCCCGAGAGGCTCCTCACGAGATCCCAACGAACATCCAAGAGGCCTCTGAACCGCAACCCAGGCATGGTGGCGGGATGGACCGAAGGCCACTAAAGCTGCTTGGCACGGGGACGGAAAGCGCACTTACTTTCAGAGCGCACGAGATCGCTGGCTCGTCCGCTCTTACACCTCTTATTGACTCCCTTCCCCTCGCTCTTGTCCTATCTCAACCTCGGAGAGTCGCGGAGCTTTCTTTGAGCGCGTTTCCTGTTTTGGAGGGGGTCGGTCGGGTCGCGTTGCGTTTTCCGCGTTTGGGCTGCCAGCTTTCCAGAACCCCGCGTTTTCCTTGCGTGGACCGCTCGTTGTCCACGCGTTGCCGCCCGTCCCTGTGCCCTGGCGTCAAGAACTTATTACGTCGCAGCTCTCTGTTGGGAGCTTTGGTCTTATCAGCTCGATTACGTCACCGCTCGCTCTTGGGAGCCGCGGTGCTAAGAGCCTTGGGGGGTATTTTGGGCCTCTTGGGGGGCTCTTGGGGAGCCTTTTGGGTGCCTCCTGGGGACCTTTTGGGGCTTTTCGGGGGCCTCTTGGGGCCTCCTGTGAGCTCCTGGGCTGCGGGGGTGAAGGGACTAGGCTGCCTTTGGCCGTCTTTGGGCTTTCTTGGGGGCCTCTTAGGGCCTTCTTGGGGTCGTCCTGGGGCCGTCTTGGCGCCTCTTGGGCCGTCTTGGCGCCCTCTTGGGCCGTTTTGGGGCCCTCTTGAGCCTTCTTGGGACGCTCTTGGGGGCCTCTTGGACAGTCTTGGGCGCCTCTTGGCCCGTCTTGGCGCCCTCTTGGGCTATGTTGGGGGCCTCTGGGAAACATCTTGGGCCGTCTTGGGGCGGTCTTGGGGGCCTCTTGGACCGTTTTCAACGCCATGAAAGGCGAAAAGCCGTATATGCTAACAGTGCACGTTTTCCTCAAGAAAATCAATGATTTTGGCCTCGTGGGGCCCTCTTGGGACGCCTCGTGGGCGCCTCCTGGGGCGTCGTGGAGGCCTCTTGGGACGTCTTGCGGCCGCCTTGGGCGGTCTTGGGCTCTCTTGGAGCGCTCTTGGGCCGTCTTGGGCGCTTCTTGGGCCGTCTTGGGCGCCGTCTTGGCCGCTTCTTGGGCTGTCTTAGGCGCCTAAGACGGCCCAAGAAGCGCCCAAAAAGCGTTTTCCGATGATGACTCGAGCGAAACGCTTTTTTTTAAGCCCCGAAGGCCGTCCTACTCGATAAAAAAACGAGGCGGGACAGCAAATTGACCTGCTTGGCACGGGGACGGAAAACGCACTTACTTTCAGAGCGCACGAGATCGCTGGCTCGTCCGCTCTTACACCTCTTATTGACTCCCTTCCCCTCGCTCTTGTCCTATCTCAACCTCGGAGAATCGCGGAGCTTTCTTTGAGCGCGTTTCTTGTTTTGGAGGGGGCGGTCGGGTCGCGTTGCGTTTTCCGCGTTTGGGCTGCCAGCTTTCCAGAACCCCGCGTTTTCCTTGCGTGGACCGCTCGTTGTCCACGCGTTGCCGCCCGTCCCTGTGCCCTGGCGTCAAGAACTTATTACGCCGCAGCTCTCTGTTGGGATCTTTGGTCTTATCAGCTCGATTACGTCACCGCTCGCTCTTGGGAGCCGCGGTGCTAAGAGCATTTGGGAGTATTTTGGGCCTCTTGGGGGGCTCTTGGGAAGCCTCTGGTGCCTCTTGGGGACCTTTTGGGGCTTTTCGGGGGCCTCTTGGGGCCTCCTGGGAGCTCCTGGGCTGCGGGGGTGAAGGGACTAGGCTGCCTTTGGCCGTCTTTGGGCTTTCTTGGGGGCCTTTTGGGGCCTTCTTGGGGCCGTCCTGGCGCCGTCTTGGGCCGTCTTGGCCCGTCTTGGGCCGTCTTGGCGCCCTCTTGGGCCGTTTTGGGGCCCTCTTGGGGGCCTCTTGGGCCTTCTTGGGGCGCTCTTGGGGGCCTCTTGGACAGTCTTGGACGCCTCTTGGCCCGTCTTGGCGCCCTCTTGGGCTATTTTGGGGGCCTCTTGGGAACATCTTGGGCCGTCTTGGGGCGGTCTTGGGGGCCTCTTGGACCGTCTTCAACGCCATGAAAGGCGAAAAGCCGTATATGCTAAAAATGCACGTTTTCCTCAAGAAAATCAATGATTTTGGCCTCTTGGGGCCCTCTTGGGACGCCTCGTGGGCGCCTCCTGGGGCGTCGTGGAGGCCTCTTGGGACGTCTTGGGGCCGCCTTGGGCGGTCTTGGGCTCTCTTGGAGCGCTCTTGGGCCGTCTTGGGCGCTTCTTGGGCCGTCTTGGGCCGTCTTGGGCGCCGTCTTGGCCGCTTCTTGGGCTGTCTTAGGCGCCTAAGACGGCCCAAGAAGCGCCCAAGAAGCGTTTTCCGATTATGACTCGAGCGAAACGCTGTTTTTAAGCCCCGAAGGCCGTCCTACTCGATAAAAAACTAGGCGGGTGGGCAATTAGATCCGGGGCTGGCGATGCCACCCCCCTCGAACTCCCCCAAGTCCAATTTCTTCCGACTAACGGACCGCACGCTAACGCGCGCTTTCCGTCATCCGGGCCTGGCGATGCCACACCCCTCGAACTCCCCCAAGCTTCCGACTACCGGACCGCACGCTAAAGCGCGCTTTCCGTCATCTGCCGCCACCTGTCGATTCATCGCAGGGGTGCCTGGCGTGCCAGATCCTTTCGGTTTTGGTTTCGGTTCTTTTTCCAAAAGAATTCCCCCTGGGCCTCCGGCGCGTCCCGCCTGGGTCCCGGAAGGATCTTCCAGACTCAGCTCCAAACGGTTTTTCCTGCCCCAGACGGCTCCAAGATGGCCCAAGATGGCCTCCAAGATCGTCCAAGACGGCCAAGATGGCCTCCAAGACGGCTCAGATGGCCCCAATATGCCTCCAAGATGACCCAAGATACCTCCAAGACGGCCTAAGATGGCCTCAAGATGGTTCAAGACGGCCCAGGAGGCCCCCAATGGCCCCCCAAGACGCCTCCAAGAGGTCCTCCAGAAGGGCCCGAAGAGGGCAAAATCATTGATTTTCCTAAGGTTTTTGAAGGATTTTGGAATTTGCTTCTTTTCGGCTTTCCGACGGCTCAAGACGGCCCCGAAGATCACCCCAAGATCGCCCAAGAGGCCTCCAAGATGGCCCCATGACGGCCCAAGAGGCCCCCAAGACGCTCCCAGGAGGGCCCCAAGACAGCCCGAGAGGCCTCCAAGACGCCCAAGATGGCCTCCAAGACGGCTAAGATGGCCCCATGTTGCGGCCCAAGAGGCCTCCAAGACGCTCAAGATGGCCTCCAAGACGGCCCTCCAAGAAGGCCCGAAAGGGTCAAAATGGCCTCCAGACGGCCACGATGACCTTCAAAATGCCCACGTGTTCCCCGAAGGCTTTCCAAACCGATTCGGGGAATAACTGGTCCGGTAGCTTGGCAGGTCTGGCCTCAACGTTCGGCCACATAGGCGCTTCCAAAAAGGCAAGGGGCGGCGGTGATTCGCCGTAGGCATCTTCGATTACTCCGACGGAAGGACCCCACGTGATAATCTGTTTAGCTTTCCCTTATCCCTTTCCTCCCGGCCATGGCAAACACCCTCGTATCGCCCTCTCCTCTGCCATCTTTTCCTCTTCTTCTATTTCCCCCCCCCTCCTTCTGCCTCCGCCCTGACTACCCCTCCTCTGAATCCTCCTGCCTCCGCCTGCCTCCTCGTCCTCCTCCTCCTCCTGCTGCCTCCTATCCTCCTTGTACCTTCCTCCTTTGTCTACCCCTGCTCTGAATGCATCAGATTTCGCACCCCCCTCCTTTC